CGACATGGGTCTCAATGGCCACTCGACATGGGTCCCAATGGCCACTCGACATGAGTCCCAATGGCCACTCGACATGTGTTCCAATGGCCACTTGACAGGGGTATCAATGGCTACTTGACATGGGTCCCAATGGCCACTTGGCATGGGTCCCAATGGCCACTCGACATGGGTCCCAATGGCCACTTGACAGGGGTCCCAATGGCCACTCGACATGGGTCCCAATGGCCACTTGACATGGGTCCCAATGGCCACTCGACATGGGTCCCAATGGCCACTCGACATGGGTCCCAATGGCCACTTGACATGGGTCCCAATGGCTACTTGACATGGGTCCCAATGGTTACTTGACATGGGTCCCAATGGCTACTTGACATGGGTCCCAATGGCTACTTGACATGGGTCCCAATGGCCACTTGACATGGGTCCCAATGGCTACTTGACATGGGTCCCAATGGCTACTTGACAGGGGTCCCAATGGCCACTCGACATGGGTCCCAATGGCCACTTGACATGGGTCCCAATGGCCACTTGACATGGGTCCCAATGGCTACTTCACATGGGTCCCAATGGCTACTTCACATGGGTCCCAATGGCCACTTGACATGGGTCCCAATGGCTACTTGACATGGGTCCCAATGGCCACTCGACATGGGTCCCAATGGCCACTTGACATGGGTCCCAATGGCTACTTGACATGGGTCCCAATGGCCACTTGACATGGGTCCCAATGGCTACTTGACATGGGTCCCAATGGCTACTTCACATGGGTCCCAATGGCTACTTGACATGGGTCCCAATGGCCACTTGACATGGGTCCCAATGGCCACTTGACATGGGTCCCAATGGCCACTCGACATGGGTCCCAATGGTTACTTGACATGGGTCCCAATGGCTACTCGACATGGGTCCCAATGGCCACTCGACATGGGTCCCAATGGCCACTTGACATGGGTCCCAATGGCTACTTGACATGGGTCCCAATGGCCACTTGACATGGGTCCCAATGGCCACTCGACATGGGTCCCAATGGCCACTCGACATGGGTCCCAATGGCCACTTGACATGGGTCCCAATGGCCACTTGACATGGGTCCCAATGGCTACTTGACATGGGTCCCAATGGCCACTTGACAGGGGTCCCAATGGCCACTCGACATGGGTCCCAATGGCCACTCGACATGGGTCCCAATGGCCACTTGACATGGGTCCCAATGGCCACTTGACATGGGTCCCAATGGCTACTTGACATGGGTCCCAATGGCTACTTGACAGGGGTCCCAATGGCCACTCGACATGGGTCCCAATGGCCACTTGACATGGGTCCCAATGGCCACTTGACATGGGTCCCAATCGCTACTTGACATGGGTCCCAATGGCCACTTGACATGGGTCCCAATGGCTACTTCACATGGGTCCCAATGGCCACTTGACATGGGTCCCAATGGCCACTTGACATGGGTCCCAATGGCCACTTGACATGGGTCCCAATGGCCACTTGACATGGGTCCCAATGGCCACTTGACATGGGTCCCAATGGCTACTTCACATGGGTCCCAATGGCTACTTCACATGGGTCCCAATGGCCACTTGACATGGGTCCCAATGGCCACTTGACATGGGTCCCAATGGCCACTCGACATGCGTCCCAATGGCTACTTGACATGGGTATCAATGGCCACTTGACATGGGTCCCAATGGCCACTTGACATGGGTCCCAATGGCCACTCGACATGGGTCCCAATGGCTACTTGACATGGGTATCAATGGCCACTTGACATGGGTCCCAATGGCCACTTGACATGGGTCCCAATGGCCACTCGACATGGGTCTCAATGGCCACTCGACATGGGTCCCAATGGCCACTCGACATGGGTCCCAATGGCCACTCGACATGGGTCCCAATGGCCACTCGACATGAGTCCCAATGGCCACTCGACATGGGTCTCAATGGCCACTCGACATGGGTCCCAATGGCCACTCGACATGGGTCCCAATGGCCACTCGACATGTGTTCCAATGGCCACTTGACAGGGGTATCAATGGCTACTTGACATGGGTCCCAATGGCTACTTGACATGGGTCCCAATGGCTACTTGACAGGGGTCCCAATGGCTACTTGACATGGGTCCCAATGGCCACTCGACATGGGTCCCAATGGCTACTTGACATGGGTCCCAATGGCTACTTGACATGGGTCTCAATGGCCACTTGACATGGGTCCCAATGGCCACTCGACATGTGTTCCAATGGCCACTTGACATGGGTCCCAATGGCCACTTGACATGGGTCCCAATGGCCACTCGACATGGGTTTCAATGGCTACTTTCTGACCCGCCCATACTGGGCATCTGTGAAAAAGCTTCATAGCTCATCGGATTCCTCCAGCCTAAATAACGATTCTGACACTGGACATGATTCTCACTTGGTAACTTGACACGAAACCTCAACCCCGCCCTGACTACTAGGCATGGCATACATGACCCCCCGCCCCCCCAGTTTGCTCCCCCACACATTGAAGACAATTCCCCCACGACGCGTGCGTGAGACGGGCAATGCGCGCGAGTGACATATCGGCGGCGTTGCTACAGTGTTGGCAAATCGCAGCTGGGCGACATCGGCGCGACTCGGGATGAGTGAAAGCTGGACAGAGAGATTGTCGTCGTGTTCAGGTTGACCCGTGGTGACACCCCCTAGAGCAGCATGGGTGGCAGTCGTATAGGGGTGGGCTATGGCTAGTTTTGCTCCACTGAATACATCTATAGTATAGATATGTGTCTGTGTGTATACTGTACGGGGTTTATGAAATACACAAAGAGTACCGCCCTCTCACGAACCGCACAGGAAACGCGCGAGTATGCGCATACACCCCCCCCACACACACATCGCAAACAAAACCTCAATAACAAGTCTCACGCCCTCGACGCGTGAGACGCTCTCACGCCCAGCGAGTGTGTCGAGAGACTTCTGCACGAGACGGAGAGGAAGGAGACACTCGCACCACACCATCATCCCCCCCCCCACACTCTCACCACACCATCACTCCCACACCATCACCCCCACACCATCACCCCCACACCATCAACCCCCCCCACACTCTCACCACACCATCACCCCCACACCCTCACCATCACCCCAACACCATCACCCCCACACCATCAACCCCCCCCACTCTCTCACCACACCATCACCCCCACACTCTCACCACACCATCACCCCCACACTCTCACCACACCATCACCCCAACACCATCACCCCCACACTCTCACCACACCATCACCCCATCATCCTCACACTCTCACCACACCATCACCCCACACTCGCACCACACCATCACCCCCACACCATCAACCCCACACTCTCACCACACCCCCACACTCTCACCACACCACACCCCCACACCACACCATCACCCCCACACTCGCACCACACCATCACCCCCACACCACACCATCACCCCCACACCATCACCCCCACACTCTCACCACACTCTCACCACACCATCACCCCATCACCCCCACACTCTATCACCCCCACACCATCACCCCCACCCTCTCACCACACCATCACCCCCACACCATCACCCCCACACCATCACCCCCACACCATCACCCCCACACCATCACCCCCACACTCTCACCACACCACACCCCACACCACCACCCCCACACCACACCATCACCCCCACACTCTCACCACCACCCCCACACCATTACCCCCACCCCATCACCCCCACACCATCACCCCCACACGGACCCCCGACGTGTCATGAACGTGCCGAAGCCGAGCTCAAGGCGAGCACACACAAGAGACGTGTTAAGGTGGGGGGTGGGTTAAGGTGTGGGGGGGGAGTTTAAGGTGGGGGGGGGGGGTGGGTTTAAGGTGGGGGGGTGGGTTAACGTGTGTGGGGGGGAGTTTAAGGTGGGGGGGTGGGTTTAAGGTGGGGGGGGATTGGTTAAGGTGGGAGGGGGTTAAGGTGGGGGGTGGGTTAAGGTGTGTGGGGGGGGGGAGTTTAAGGTGGGGTGGTGGGTTTAAGGTGGGGGGGGTTAAGGTGGGAGGGGGTTAAGGTGGGGGGTGGGTTAAGGTGTGTGGGGAGTTTAAGGTGGGGGGGTGGGTTTAAGGTGGGGGGGTTAAGGTGGGGGGGGGTTAATGTGGGAGGGGGTTAAGCTGGGGGGGGGTTAAGGTGGGGGGGGAATTAAGGTGGGGGGGGGAGTTAAGGTGGGGGGGGGAGTTAAGGTGGGGGGGGGTGGGTTAAGGTGGGGGGGTGGGTTAAGGTGTGTGTGTGGGGGGGGTTAAGGTGTGGGGGGGGGGTTAAGGCGTGGGGGGGTGGGTTAAGGTGGGGGGGGGGTTAAGGTGGGGGGGGTTAAGGTGGGGGGTTAAGGTGGTGGGGGGGTTAAGGTGGGGGGGGGGTTAAGGTGGGGGGGTTAAGGTGGGGGGGGTTAAGGTGGTGGGGGGGTTAAGGTGGTGGGGGGGTTAAGGTGGGGGTGGTTAAGGTGGGGGGGGTTAAGGTGGGGGGGTTAAGGTGGGGGGGGGTTAAGGTGGGGGGGGGTTAAGGTGGGGGGGGTTAAGGTGGGGGGGTTAAGGTGGGGGGGGTTAAGGTGGGGGGGGGTTAAGGTGGGGGGGGTTAAGGTGTGGGGGGGTTAAGGTGGGGGGGGTTAAGGTGGGGGGGGGTAAGGTGGGGGGGTTAAGGTGAGGGGGGTTAAGGTGGGGGGGGGGCGAGAGGCCGCTCTAACGCCGATCCCAATGCGTGAGAAGACGCGAAGAGACTGAGCGACTGAGGGGGGCACGAGGCGTGGGGGGGGCAGCGCGTGGGGGGGGGGGGGCAGCGCGTGGGGGGGGGGGGAGGCAGCGCGTGTCGCACCTCGCGTGAGAAATTCGGGAGACTCGCAGAGAAGAGCGGGGGGTGGGGGTAGAGATGGGGGGGGGAGACGCTTTCGTGAGGGGATGGTGGTTAGTGTTAGTGAGGGGAAGGAGCTGCTTCTGCTGCTGCTGTGCGTGTCGCACCTCGCGGGAGAGGCCCGCGGGGCCCCGGGCCGCCTCCACCTCGAAGCTGCGGCCGCACGCCGAGCACTGCGCGGGGCCTCCTGCCGCGGGCAGCAGCAGGCGGGCACCGCAGCGCTCGTCCGGGCAGCTCGCGGCCAGCAGCCTGGGCCCGTCCTTCGCCTTCTTGCTGCCGGGCAGCATGGCTCTCTGCTGCTGCTGCTGTTGTTGTTCCTGAGGTCCCGCGGTTCAGTCGAGAGGAGGCAGAGCAGGTTAACAAGAAACAGCAGCGGCGTCGGCGGCCGTGAAGGTGCGGGAAAGGCCCGGGCGTGACGTCAACCTGGAAACCGACGCGCGATGACGTCATGCGTCACCGCGATGTTGACGATTGTCTTCCGGGAATTTGACGTCAACCGGCCGCGGCGACGCGATGACCTCGTTCGCACGTTGTGGGCAGCGCGGTTCGTAAGGCGTGACGTCGTCGGGTGAACGTCATCCCGGTGACTTGTGCGGCACTGGGGTGTGACGTCACAAAGACAGACGCGTTACACGTCGACCCGGTCCGATGTGGCCGCGGCTGTTGTGCCGGGCTCGGTGCGGGGCATGCGGGAGTCGTACAACCCTAGCTGCCACTGCTATTCAGTGGCCTAAAATATGGCTCTAGATTTTGGTGTTATAATTTATTTATGTAGTTTATTGTTAAAAAATTCGGTCACAGTCCCTATGATCACTGTTACATTGCATTTATGGCTTTTATTTTGGTGATTTCGAAAACGTTTTTTTGGTTTTGGCCATGTTTTTGTTTATTGTAGTACGGAGTTAGACTGATGGCCTTAATCTTAGTTGTCTTGTGGTTGTTGTTGTTGTTATTTGACTTGCATCCCACTGGGATTTTTGCACACAGCGTTGGTGTACGGTGCTATTTCAGGAATATTTTTGATGTTTTTTGCCTGGATTTTCTGTTTGCACAGTCACATAATCACTTTAAGATGTTTTCTTGTTCATGTTTTTGTTTGTTGCGGTTGCACCCGATTCAAGAGCCGAATGGCTCACAGGGCTATACCAAATAAATGAACTATGGAACTATGTAAGAATATTCACGTTTATTTAAGGTGTGTTTATATTGTAAGACTATTCACGTTTATTTAAGGTGTGTTTATATTGTAAGAACATTCACGTTTATTTAAGGTTAAGAATATTCACGTTTATTTAAGGTGTGTTTATATTGTAAGACTATTCACGTTTATTTAAGGTGTGTTTATATTGTAAGGATGTTCGCGTTTATTTAAGGTGTGTTTATATTGTAAGACTATTCACGTTTATTTAAGGTGTGTTTATATTGTAAGACTATTCACGCTTATTTAAGGTGTTTATATTGTAAGACTATTCACGTTTATTTAAGGTGTGTTTATATTGTAAGACTATTCACGTTTATTTAAGGTGTTTATATTGTAAGAATATTCACGTTTATTTAAGGTGTGTTCATATTGTAAGACTATTCACGTTTATTTAAGGTGTGTTTATATTGTAAGACTATTCACGTTTATTTAAGGTGTTTATATTGTAAGAATATTCACGTTTATTTAAGGTGTGTTTATATTGTAAGACTATTCACGTTTATTTAAGGTGTTTATATTGTAAGAATATTCACGTTTATTTAAGGTGTGTTTATATTGTAATATTATTCACGTTTATTTAAGGTTAAGAATATTCACGTTTATTTAAGGCGTGTTTATATTGTAAGAATATTCACGTTTATTCAATGTGTGTGTTATATTGTAAGACTATTCACGCTTATTTAAGGTGTGTTTATATTGTAAGAATATTCACGTGCATTTAAGGTGTGTTTATATTGTAAGAATATTCACGCTTATTTAAGGTGTGTTATATTGTAAGAATATTCACGTTTATTTAAGGTGTGTGTTATATTGTGAGACTATTCACGCTTATTTAAGGTGTGTGTTATATTGTAAGACTATTCACGCTTATTTAAGGTGTGTTTATTTTGTAAGAATATTCACGTGTATTTAAGGTGTGTGTTATATTATGAGACTATTCACGCTTATTTAAGGTGTATTTATATTGTAAGAATAGTCACGTTTCTTTTCCTGCAATTTACTCTTCTGATGGCGCATTCACAGTCCAAGTGAAAGGTGAATCGGTGGCTTCATGAGCAATTCCAGTGATGTCACCGCATGCCCTTGACATCCATGGCTTTCTGGCACCCATCACAACTCCTCCACACCGTCTGCAGAACATCCTCCCTCTGCGGACCGCACCCACGGCCCCATTAGGGAGCCGTGGCATTGCCCAACGGGAGCGCATTCTCCCCCTTGTTGCGCACTTTTCGCGGTTCGATTCCGACGGGCGGCCCTGGTTATCGCTGCAATCGTCCGCGTCGTGCGCTTCGCAGTGAACGTTGCGGGTCCCGTGACGTCATGCGAAGGGAGTCGGCCATTGCGTGCCGGCGTCATGTCTTTAGAACTGATGTTCGTGTTTTAAGTTTGTTTGTTTGTTTCCCTTCCCCGGCACCTCCGCTTTGCACGGTTGGCTACGTACGGTGCGAAGGAAGTTGAACATAGTGTGCCTGTGAAACAGCGCCTTCATGATAGCCTTGCACTATAAGAATGGCGCAAATGCCAAATGTTCTCCTATCATCACCACCACCACTCGAGGTCATCTTTACCTCGTTTACCGAAACTCTTTGTGCCACTCCAACGGCTGTCTCGGTAGCCCGCCCTCCTCTACTCCTTGACAGCCTCACTGTATTCGACTGCGCTTTCCTACCACGTTCCATGCCGACCTTTAAATTAGGCTTCAGGTAATGTTTCGGGGTGGACTGGTGGTGCCGTGGGTTAGAGTAACTCATGACCAACATCAATCGCGAGAGACAACTGAATTGGCCAGTGGGAAGTCTGTTCAATCTCCCACCATGACCGACACACAGCACGAGGACACTCGTGAGGCTATCGATCCACTGGATTGTGAGCCAGACGGTGTCAGCGTCTGAGCCAGACTCGCCCGACTCCTCGGTGCTTCCCGCAGTTCAACCCCGGGACGTCGTGGCTCAGCCATGGTGGTGGCCCCGTGGGAGGGCAACTGAGCCCGGCCTATCCACCCCTTCCCCTTGGTGTCAGCTAGGCCCCTACTTTCCCGCACGCCGCGTGCTCTGCACGTGGCCGCCCCGTTGATCCTGACGCCGGCTCTGGAGAACGACGCGGCCTTCAACCAAAGCAGAGGATTGACAAAGCTTTGTATATAATGCTACCTACTAGTAGATTAACAAGCGTGGGGGGCAGGGGGTGCCTTGACTTCACCCCCCTGGTGGCCAAAGCTACGAGTTGGGGACCCCTTGACAACCACCGTGAGATGTGTTTTCAACAACAGTGTAAAAGAACAAGAACGCACATTTTAAAACGAGGTTTCAACTCATGCTTTCATTGACGTTTCACGTAACGTTTGGCTTCGGAAAATTGCGCAAATCAAATATTGAGGGTCCCACCTGACCGATGTCTGCACCGCCTGAGCTGAGAATGTTGTTACTCCGCCACTCTGTGCCACTCTTAAAACTAATCTTCGCATCGCGTTTCCTGGCTGGCTGCTGATACACCGCAGAGTAACGAACACAGAAGACTATCACGGTTCATTTGAAACTGCTCGAACTGTTTCAATGTCTGCTTCTGTTAATATCATATTTTCGCCAGAACATTCTTTAAATCCGACAATATAAAAAAAACAATCACAATACACGCGGGTTCTCGTCTAGTTACGATGTAGTATACGTGTAATTAGTTTGAACTACGTGATTGGAATGGGTGCAATGTATTCCACTTACGTTGTTTAATCACTAGATGTCATTCGAGTACCCAGCAACAAAACGTCGTGCTTTGCGAGACTGCCGGGATTCTTTTTGTTGTTGCTTCCCAAACCACTAAATTGAAGATCCCCAGACTTACACATTTGCCAGAGTGGAGAGTATAGTCCGAAAAATAAAACTTTTTTCCGAATAATATTTTACAACAAATAAAAAACGCAACATTACAGCAGCCCTTGAGTCCTTGTATGAGAAACCAAAATGTGGTATTTAAAAAAAGAGATCTGAAGTTTGAAACTCTTATCCGTATGAAACTAGAATGTCATGTAGTGGCACTGAAATGTAGTTTTTTTTTAATGGTGTGTCTCGTAATGTCTGATCTGGCTAAGTTTCCGCTTTTCTGTGAAGCGTACAAATATGGATTGCTTGTAAAGGGTTGTTTTTTGCAGACCAAAAAATGTGACGAGGGTGTGAGTTAATAAAGTTCATTGGGAAGAGAAGTTGAACAGAATATCACGAACAAAACAGATAAGCAGACAATACATCCCCTTCGTATATCTGTATCTCCACATTAAAACAAAATACATGTTATACATCCCCTCTGCAGCACAGCCTTCTGGAAGTGCTTAATCCAACAGCTTTAATTCAAGCTAAAAACTAAACTCGTGAATATTTATTTTATTTCGCCAGGTAAGGCTCACCGAGCTATTTCTCTCTTTTTCAGAAGCGACCCGGCCACAAATGATAGCTCAACGAAGTGGCTTATTACGTGGCAATTTATGGCAGCCAAATACTCTAAACGCGTGTTGCTAAATGTGGAGGGAAAAGCCGAAGGACCCACAGAAAAATCCACACCATCACGGGAAGAGAGAGACACGCAAACTCCAAATATACAGCAGCAGGCGTCGAGCTCGGTGAGGTAGTTAACATCTCGCCACCGTGGCCCGACAATCAAGGCCGTCTGCCAATGAGACACTGTATGTCTGTGTCGTCTGGGTTCTCCATTTCCCCCCCCCCCCCCCAGAGCTAAAAACGTGACACAATGTAACTGGTCTTGGCCAAACATGCCAACGCATACGCATATTTGCAAGTTACTCAATTGGGATTACACGGAGGGGAAACATTGCCCCCTGCTGTCAAAACTTGAGAGGACCCTCTTGAAAGAGTCACGAGACTCAGCAAGGCTTTCCCTGGGCAAACCAGAGTCAACGTAATGGATAATAATAGAACATTGTGCAGATCTCTAATACATAAAAAAGTAAATTTTGATTTAAAGCTTTCGTGACTGCAGTAATTCATATTCTTAGCTCTTTCGGTAAAGTCACGTTGAAGGGAAACAATAAAATAATAAAATATATAAAACAATAAAAATTATCACGACGTTTCGACCATAACACTAACACCTGATGACGACCGTTTGTGTTATGGTCGAAACGTCGTGAGAATTTGTATTGTTTTATATATATTTTTTGTTATTTTATTGTTTCCCTTCAACGTGACTTTACCGAAAGAGCTAAGAATACATAAAAAAAGTCATTAAAACACTGCAGGACACAAGTGATTGTTCAGATGAAGAGGAGGAGGTTCTTAAAGGAAACGCTGAACGAATGGACGTTATGAACGCAGCGGGACCAGCTGTTGAAACAAAATGATCAGATATATTTGCTAAATGATAAAACAAAGTTAAAGGCGCAGCCCTGCAATTTCTTGCCCACGCCACTGCTGGCAGAAGGGGCTGCGCCAGACGGATCGCTCGAGAAAGCCCACCTCCCCCTCTTGTGCAATGATGGCTGAATGTTTACGATAACAGTAGGAATTTCTCAACATCAAACTGCAGCATAATCGAATTATAAATCTCGGATGTGAGCAGTGCCTGGTACCACAGCTATTACAGATAAGTCTGTTACAAGCATCGCTCATGCGAAGTGATAGGGTTTCATGTTTTACTTACATAAAAGCACAGCTGGGTCAAGATACCCAATGTTCCAGACAGTAATAGCGCAGCCTCTGTGTTTATGACGTGCATAAGGCTCTGTTTGATCTGACTCACAGTCTCAATGAGTGAAATGTCATTGACCCTGGGATTGCTTTACATTTACTTACATGACACATTGATGACCCACAGTCGTGTGATATGCGTACATGTAAGTCGTGTGTTATGCGTCGTGTGTTATGCGTGTAAGTGTATGTTTGACGTGAACAATCATTTGAAATTATGTTTAAGGTAACGTAATGATATATAATCTGCCGAAACCGCCTTAATGTATAGAGGACTGCAGAACTTTGGTAACAACTGTTGAGCGATACCCTTTCTTGGTGATGTACCCTTTGCGTCACGAAGAGGCCAACCGCAATGGAGAATCCCGTATACTGAATACAGACAAAGCCATAGTGATCACTATTATCATCACGATCCATAGGCAGATTGCACGTAGGTATGCACTCTACATTCATAACACAAAATAATACAATTTGAAGAGGTATTGTCTGCTTCTCTACTTAAAAAAAATTGATACTACTCACAACGACGCCGATGATGCGTTATCTTCTAATTTTGCTTCAAAATAGTACTCATCTAACAGAGAGGGTCCTTGCCTTTAACATCTAGCAGTTTACCGGCATTGGTTCAAGCAAACCCGACTTTGCTGATGAGACACTGTGGTCAAACCCATTCCAGCAATGCTGAAACTATGGACTCCGAGAAGTGTTAAAGGGCCGTTGAGTTGTGTAACAAAAACACATTTTTTGACGAGAGAGAAACAGATATATATAAATTGAGGTGTATCGTCACATTACCTAGAGTGATACAGGCCACTTGAGTCATCAGACGTGACTTTATTCTGCAGTGAGGCAGGGGGGGTCAAAGCCCTCCGTTTCACGTTACAGACACACAGGAAGCGGTCGATTGGAAATTCGGAGAAGCTTGGGTGGGCGGCTATGACCGTATATTGCTCTCCGGGTATATAAGGGTCACGCGCGCTGCTGGGGATTTAGCTCACCGCCAGTGAACAGGAGCGAAGAGAATCATTTTACGTGGGCACGTGCCGCCAGGTGTGAGTCACCGAGTGAGGCCGTAGGTCTGTGAGTGTAAAGGCTGCGAGGCCATTGTATATTGGTGAGGCTGCCTCAACTTGTTTCGCCCACATTATTGAGAGTTAGCGATGACTTCGACGATGGGCGGTAGAGCTCAGCTGATGTCTCTGCTGGCGCTGGTGTTGGGGCTGGCCCTGCTCGTGAACCCCGGATCCCTCCTCCGGGTGGGCTGGGGGCTCCTGGGGTCTCTTCTGAGCCTCGCTGGCCTCGTAGGGGCCCTGGGGACAATGCTCGGCCTCACGGTGCTCTACCTGCAGTCGTGGCAGGAAGACACCAAGCGAGTGGACGCGCTGCACAAGAAGGCTGTGCTCGTCACGGGCTGCGACTCAGGTGCGCTGGCTTCTCTCTCTCTCTGTGTGTGTGGTAGTGTAGTGGTTAGCGCGCCGAGCTACGAACCTGGCGAGCCGAGTTCGATTCCCGCTCACGGACAGCACCGGTGACGATTATTTGACTCGGTTCTGGGCCTCCCCGAGGTAGACTCAGCCTCAAATGGGTACCTGGAACAGTGTGTAAAGATCATCACTGGCCACCCACCCCCTCGTGTGCCGTTCCGGCATTAATGGGTGCTTGCTGACAGTACTTGCCCCAACTGTCTGTTAAGGCTATACGGGGGTTGTGTGTCTTTGTACTGTGTCTCACATAGGTCAACTCAACCTTGAAAGAGTATCTGGTGCGGTGATATTAAGCCACTGGATCTATGCACTTTTACATCTAGTATGAAAACGAATTTCTTCACGACTGCTTTTTGTGTTAAGTGTGTTTCCTTCCCGCACCTCCGATTGGCACGGTTGGCTGTGTACGGTGCGAACGAAGTTCAACGTGCTCGTTCACACACATCGCTTTGTCGCCATGTGCGTGGAGAGGGGAGCGGTGGTGGCGTGGCCATGATTCTGCTGCCAGAAGAAAGAGCTCTTTCTTTCTTTCTTCCGCCTGATGATGATTGCTTGCGTTGCGATCGAAACGTCGTGATCTATTATTATTTTTCTACCTACTTGACTTTACCGAAAGAACCGAAAGGTTATTGCATACATATTCGCCACAAGTGGCGGTGACGTCACCACGTGCGATTGTGCCAGGCTAGGTGCACTTTGAGGTTCGAGGGAGGTGGTTGCCTCTTGAGTGTGGTGGAGGCAGTGGAAGAGAAAAAGCGATCGAGAATAGAAAGGAGCCGAGGGCCGAGCGAAAAGTGGAAAGCGAGGGTGAGAGTCTGATGTGGAGTGGGAGTTTGTTCCAGTTGCAACGGCACAAGTGCTGTTAGCGAGCACCTATGAAGTTCGGCACGGCACACGAGGGGGTGAGTGGCCAACACCACGCCCGGCCGCCTTTGTCTCCCAAGTGGCGATGATTTACACACCGCACCAGGTACTCATTTGAGGCTGAGTCGACCTAGGGGAGGCCCATAACCGGTTCAGATAATCGTCACCGGTGTTGGCCACGAGCGGGCATCAAACTAGGGTTGGCGAGTCCGTAGCAGTGCGCTAACCGCTACCCTACGGCTCCCCACACCTCCTCACCTACAGGCGCACACATCACGCTGACGCCAACTCTTTCCAACGCAGGCTTCGGACTGCAGTTCGCACGCGAGCTGCACGGGCTGGGCATGACGGTGCTGGCCGGCTGCCTGCAGACCAAGAGCCCCGGGGCAAGCGAACTGGCCGCACTCAACTCGCCCCGCATGCACGTGCTGGCGCTGGACGTGACGAGTGACGAGAACGTTGAGGAGGTGCTCCGAGTGGCCCAAGGAATCGTCACTGACAACGGGCTCGGTGAGTTACCACGAGGTCGAACCGACCACCACCACCACCACCACCATCAAAAGCAACAACAAACAACAACAACAACAAAAGATCTCCCGCTTTGCCTTTGCCAAGAAGGCATCGTACATAGCCGAACGTGCTAATCGGCGGTGCGGGTGAAGAACTATAAACTAAACACAAAAAAACAGTTCTAAAGAATGAGTTTTCAATCTAGATTGGAAAGTGCATCGCTTCCGTGGCTTCCTACTATCGGTAGGAAGAGCGTTCCAGACGGCCGCGGAAGCACCCCAGAAATCGCGCGACGCGGTGACCACCGCCTTTGTCCGATAGCCAGCCAATGGCGACCGCTGAGAAGATGACCGCAGCTCGCGTGATGCTTTATGCCCCTTGACTACGGTGTACCCGCGTTATCATTCCCCATGGACCCGCTAGGCGAAAAAAAAAAATGCGACACCGTGAAAAAAGGCGAGTTTAAATGGCACCAGTAGAAAACAAAAGTTGTTGATAAAACGTGCATCACGACTCGTCTACTTCTTGGCTTCTCCCCGCAGAGCTGTGGTGCGTCGTGAACAACGCGGGCGTGGGCTGCATGGGCGAGATCGAGTGGACGAGAATGAGCTCCTTCAGGATGGTCGCCGAGGTGAACCTGTGGGGTGCCGTGCGCATCACCAAAGCGTTCCTGCCACTCCTACGCCGCTCCAGAGGTGACGACTTTGACGGCAGCTCTGTCCCATACCACCGCGGTGGCGAGATGTTAATTGCCTCGCCTGGTATACAGGAGGTCGTGGCTTCATTCTCGACCCTGACGCCTGCTGTATATTTGGAGTGTTGCATGTCTCTCTCTCCCCACGGTCGTGAGGATTTTTCTTCAGGTCCTCCGGGATTTTCCTCCACATTTAGAAAGGTGAGGTTTAAGAGTTTTTGGCTGCTATGCATTTCCATATGATACACCACTTTCATTGGGCTATCATTTGTGGCCAGGTTGCTTCTGAAAAAGAGCTATACAGCTCAGTGGACCTTACCTGCTAAAATAAACCAATTGTTTAGTTTTAGTAACCAGGGTGGCCACCTGTTCATGTTTTATTGGATTTTCTTTCACTTGGTAGCCGTCCTGATGTGTCCACCTCCAAAGTGTGCCCAACTCGCGTAATGAGGCTCCAAGAGGTTTTATATTGATATATAAAAAAGCTTGTTTAAGTATATTATGCATTGGTATTGAACACACCAGGGCATTCCATCTGAAATGTGGTGGCTTTCAATGCAATGTGCATGTGTGTGTATATATAGCGTGTCGGTTCAGCCAATGTCATCGATTGAGCAGCAAGACCTAATTGGCAAGACATCACAATGCAACCCGTCTCAGATTTCTGTGATCTTTTCGAGAGAAAAAAGAACCACTTTCATCTCATTGGGTCATTGCCTTGTTACAAATAAAGTTATTCTCTCTGTACATAAACGTACAGGTTTATGTTCGCCATTTTCATATTAAATCCAAAACAAGAAATCTAACCGGGATATTGACTTTTTGGAAAAAAAATAAAAAAAATATTGGATTCATCAGAAAGCATGACTTCACGCGAAATCACACACCACTTTTATTCCGTCACGTCTGCGAAAGCGATGCAAAACTTGGACAAAAACATCCAAAATTGTTCTCAACAATCTGAAATCCGCGAATCCGAAACTCATCCCCGACGTACTGCTTGCTTGTGTGTGTGCACGGTGCACTGGTTAGCGCACTGTGCTATGAACTCGGCGACCCGAGTTCGATTCCCGCTCACGAGCAACATCGGTGACGATCATCTGAACTGCTCAGGGGCCTCTCCTAGGTCGACTCAGGCTTAATTGAGTACCTGGTGCAGTGTGTAAACATTGCTGCTATGGGAGACAAAGGCGGCCGGGCGTGGTGCTGGTTACTCACCCACTCGTGTGCCGTGCCGGCTAGCAGCATTTGCCCCAACAGTCTGTTGAAGGCTATATGGGGGCTCTTTGTCTTCGTGTGTGTGTGTGCGTTCAGGGCGCATCGTTAACATGTCCAGCATCGCCGCACGCACCTCGAGCTACAACAATTGTGCATACGCCATCACCAAGGTGGCCTTGGAGAGCTTCTCGGATGCCCTGCGCCTGGAGATGCACAAGTGGGGCGTGCAGGTGTGGGAACACACAACACCAACACGAACTAACTGGGATCACCACTAATAACTGCGACAGGCAGGCAATGGCAGATCAGCTCACGTGCAAATCTGAACGAACATAAAACAGCCAAAAAAACAGTTTCAAAATCTCTCATCCCAATATTGTCTGCATTTCTCATCCAACCCCATCTTGTCCATTTTTCTACGACTCATTATATTTAATCCGTTTCACAAAAGTGGGATGGTCCCACTAAACGTCACAGGGACCTCAGTCAGGCCACATCACCACTGGCTGCATCGTAATCCTCAATCCACAACCCGCAGACTCTGGTGACCCTCCTCGACCCAACCATAACCCAGAAACACACTCCACCCCCAAACATTGGCCAAATGGTGTCAACCACGTCCATGTTGGCCTAACAACATTGCATGCATCGCTTCGTGAACATCCCTTCTAACTTCCAACCCCCTCCCCACCACCCACCCTGCAACACCCGCAAGGTGAGCCTCATCGAGCCGGGCAACTACACCCTGCACACCAACCTGGTGGGCGACACGTCCGGCGCGGACCACTTCTGGAACGCGCTGCCCGAACCACTGCAGCGCGACTACGGCCGCGAGTACGTGGCCGCGTTCGCGTCCCAGCTGCGGCTCAACCTCGAGAGCAACAGCAGCACCGACGCGAGCCCCGTCGTCAGCGCCCTGCGCCACGCCGTGACGTCCAGGTGGCCGCGACGCCGCTACCTGCCGGCCTCGCGCTCCGAGCGCTTCGCCGTGGCTCTCTTCTCTGCGCTGCCGGCTGTCGTCGCCGACCGGCTGTTCACGAGCCCGGTGAGGCCCGGGGGTCAGCAGAGAATCATACCGGACCTGCTCAAGCAAGGTGGAAGGGGGGGGGGGGGACTAAGGGCACGGCCTTGACTGCGGCGAGGCTGTCTTGAGAGAAAGAAATGGGACATTGGCGAGAGGAAGGGACCTTGAAGATTTGAGTCTGGGTCGCGAGCACTATAAGTACACAATCATCTTTTATTCAGTAATCATGCCTCCATTTATTATTCAAAGTACATCTCAAAACAAAGAATTGGTGCTTTCCAGCTCGAGTGCAAGGACTGGCACATCTTCTCTGTACTCTGATGCAAGGTCCATCTGCTGGCTACTCAGGCATTGACAAGAGCTGCAGAGCTCAGCGGGAGTTTACTTGGGTAATAAAACTTAAGAGCATTGCACCAGGTGCACATTCCACATGCCTTATATAATTTTACAGCCATTTATTATTCGAATGTTGAAGACCTACCCATGCAGAGCCAGATGTTGGATCATAATTCAGAGATTAGATGCGAGATGGAGAGGAGCACAGATGTGTTAAAGTACAGTCCAATAAAGGATGTCGCTAGACTCCACAAGCAATCACGTAGCCTCACAGCCTACCAACCTGCCATGCCTGCTGGTCACCCATTACAGCCCTCTCCAGGCTCAATCCTATACTTGAGATGCATAGCTGTGAAACTCTTGGATGAGCTTCCTAGCTCAGATTCCTCCAGGATGACCAAAGATCGATATCCGAGGCCTGAGAAAATGACGTCAGGTACAATCTCACTTTGAGAAACCTCTGAAGCACTATTGTTTACTCACCTTGAATCCTGGAGCACATTTCGTGAACGTTGGTGTGCGTCCGTCAATCCCACACCCCATTGCCTACGTTTGACTTGTTTTCGTTGGCAACGGTTTCTCCAAATGTAAGAAACTTATTCGGTTTGCGTTTTTTTCTTGAAAATTGCACTGTAGTTCCTGCCTATGGGCACACCACACCAATAAAACATTTGTACATAATGTCGTCTGGGTCAATTGCAACAAGTCTATTTGGCCACTTATGCTTTATTCCGCATACTAGAATGTTGCTTCACGTGGGTTATTTAAGCATTTGCCGAAACTTTTTTTCGTCACCAACATCAAGCGAAGTTGAATTTCTTTAACGGGTCTCAACTTTCCGATGGAGCCTCGAAAAGGTAAAAACAAAGTACAAAATGGCATGTTGCTTTCACAAATGTTGCTGTCGATGCGAACACCGTTCTATAAAGGCCAATAAGGTTGCCGTTTTACAAGTTGATGAAATGGAACCGCTGGTAGTTTTATTTGTGTTTGACTCTGCGGTCTATGGATGGCAAAGTGAATACGACTGCATTGTAACAAAAATATCAACAATTCCTCGGTGAAACGTTTTAGAAAGTTGCGAACTTTAAAAGAAAACCCACAAACGTGAACACGGTGCAAGTCGATTGCAGATGCTGTGCGTTGCAACATGCCGTGGGGTTGGTTAATCGTTAACAGCCGGGTGCAAACACGTACACGTACTTTAGTTCCCGGGTCGCGAGCTTGTAAAAGCGATGGAAGGCGCAACGTTGTTTTACAGGAGTCGAGGTTGTAAAGTAGATTGCGGCGCTAGCTTTATTTTTTTTTTAAGGGAACAGCCAAGAAGGCAATGTCTCGCTTCCTTTCGTGTGACCATCAGGACTCGACTTGGACATCTTTAAAAAAAAACCACAAAATCAGCTGTTCAACTTTCTCATGCCCCCCCCCCCCCCAAATGCAGTATCTACACCGGCGTCCCATCTCCCCTCCCCCCGTCTCCATCCGACACGGTTTCAGCTATAGGCGACAACTTGTTGGGTTTAGTAATTGGTGATTGCAGCAAGAGAACCAAGGTTGAGACAGGCGGCCCGATTAGATTTGGACCCATGACCTCAGCGGTACTCACCTTGCACATACCGCCATTAAAAAAGTTCGTTTGTCGGTCTCCTGTGCTCATGCATCAGAGCGCCCTTGTAAAAAAATGCTGGGAAATTGGACACACGGGCTCATCCGTAAAAACAAATCAATTGTAGCACCAGCACAATTGGCGCAGACGTTGGAACATGCACGTGTCCCAGTAGGTTCATTCGGGTGACTCTGCACACATGTCAACTGGCCAAAATGTTCTTGTCCATTAATAACGTACCTATCGGCGTGTTTCATCCTATTCCGTGGGCATTAGTGATGAACACGCGCAGATCAGCTCCATTAAATACACCCCTGCCGCAGAGACCTTTTCAGTTATTTGTAGTGGACCTTTCTTGCACGCGTCCACCACACGACGCCATGGACGAGCGGGGCATGTAGTAGGCACGTGGCGGGTTGAAACGAGGATCACTGCCAAGGCCACGTGCCAGATGTTCAAACCAAGCAGGGTGGGGGTAGCCTTGACCCCCAAATGCACTCATCCGCCGACCTTTGCCACAACCAGCGTTTAGCAAACAAAGCATCACGTATCCGTGCAACCAAGCAAATAAACATTTGTCGTGACCACCAGCAACGACCACAAAATGCACCCAAATCTCCAGATTGTAGCAGCACGGCAGGGCTTACACGTTGGTTGGTAATTTGGGGTGACCATCAGGTGTTATGGGGCAAGAAAGGCGGTCAAACGGCAGTGTCCCATGGGTCTAGGTAGTGTCCTTCCGTTAGCCATAATTATTTATTACTTTGTATCCAGGGAAGTCACACCAAGGTCACCTGCAGACCCAACCAGTAGGTTTAAATGGTTCATTAAAACCAGAGCGAGGCCAAAGTTGTTTCTCAGGACGCTTGGCGACAACGCAGTGGCGTTGACGCACACGGCATGCTCAGGTTGTCAGTCTTCTTCATGGGTCAGAGCAGAGATAATTTAAATGAAATGCCCCGTTCCTATTTGGTCAAAACGTCCAGGTTCGTTTAGTGCCCCCCCCCTCTCATCCTGAAAAAAAAACCGCTTCGCATTTTCTACACACGGATGACAAGATTCGTTTGAATCATACACCAGAAGCATTCGCAGCATTCATAAAAAGTAAGCAGGAAAAAATTCAGCAGCAATCTTTATTAGGCCGTCATCTTTACACTTGCATCACAAGGGAAAAATAATACCACTTTAGCAAAATTAAACCAAAAGCCTATTCCACAAACATGTGTTAACTTTTCACACAACTCAATAACGGCACTGACAGTACAGGGGGCACCAGGGGGCATTAACGCCAGCACCGACGATGGGAGAGTATGCAGGGCGACCTCCGTCCGTCGTTGTCGGGGATGCAAGGAAGTGATGCCCTCCCGTCTTCTCCCCCCCCCCCCCATCCCCACGCCCCCCCCCCCCTCACTTGCCCTTCATGGCCTTGCTTGCAGACTTGGTCACCTTGGCCGACTCTCCCACTTTCTTGCTCACGGCCTTGATGACGCCCACGGCCACCGTCTGCCTCATGTCCCGCACCGCAAAGCGCCCTGGGGGGGGGGGGGGGGGGGGGGGGGGGGGGGGGGGGGGGGGGGGGGGAGGGAGAGGGGGGGACACGGTCGGAACCGTGGGGAGGCGACAATTTAAAGTATGCGCTCTAAAAAAAAGAGGTGACAGCTTATTAGCTTGCAGATGCATTAGCCACCACACGCATTGAATTTAGTTGCCCCCTTCACGTCAGTGAGTGGTCAGTTGGCAGGGGGACTCGAGATTGGGTAATCACTTCGAGCAGGTGATTCTTAACATGGCGTGCGAGATTGCCCTTCAAGGGTGCAAGCAGTGCCGGATTCAGAGAGTGGGGGGGGGGGGGGCTGTTGGATGTTTTATAAAAGGGGCTTTAAAAAAAAAGCATAAATATTTAAACACTAATTTCAAATATTGTTAGGTCTTTCGGTAAAGTCACGTTGAAGGGAAACAATAAAAAATATATAAAACAATAAAAATTCTCACACCTGAACGTCGTTTGTGTTATGGTCGAAACGTCGCGAGAATTTTTATTGTTTTATATAAATTGTATTATTTTATTGTTTCCCTTCAACGCGACTTTGCCGAAAGAGCTAAGAATATGAATTACTGCAGTCACAAAAGCTTTAAATCAAAATAAAAACTAATTTTAAGCTTGCAAAGTAATTGTATTTTTCATTTGCTCTGCAGCCAGATACGACAAATCACTAACCTTAAACGCCCAGTCGTTCATAAACGTTGAAGGCGGTATAGTACTATAGTAATAGAGCAAGTGCAGAATCACTGAACTGGAATTGGTAGCTTTAAAGCATTAAGAGTGGGGCCCGTGAAAGTGCGGGGTCCGTAGCATGTACAGCTACTTTTGCTACTAGGATCATCATCTGGCGCTGGGCGCAAAATATGGCCAGCTTTTTTGGAAGACAAATCATCGAAACAAAAATTAAGCACGGACACAAGTCAAACATTTATTAAAACTATGTATTTATGAACTTGATAAAAAAACTTAACGATCGAGAACGAAAGGGGAGCAAGGCTGCAAAGGTCACCAGAGACTTAAATGGCCCACTGCATCGTACGCTTTCAGGATGGACATCCACGGCCGTCTGGAACGCTCTTCTTTCTGATATCGGGAAGCCACTGGAGCCATGCACTTTGAAATAATCCAGATAGAAAACCAACTTCTTTAGACCTGCTTTGTTTTTAGTTTGTCGTCCTTCTCCCGCACATCATATCCGAACGGTGCAAAATAAGTTAATACGTACTTGCTGATGTGGTTCTGTCAGAAGGTTTAAGTGGCTGTAAGAGATTCATGCTAATCAATGTCTTGTACATACGCCGCACCTCTTCCCCCCCCCCCCCCCCCCCCACCAAGAGTGCATTGTAACACTTCCAAATAATACAATAATCCATACACCCACTGCACCAATTTCCAATGCCCTCGATCAGCCCCCGTGCGCATCCACCGCTCCCTGCCACAGTAACTCACCGAGCGGTGGGTACTGCGAGAAGCTCTCCACGCACATCGGCTTGCCGGGCACCATCTCGATCATCGCCGCGTCCCCAGACTTGAGGAACTTGGGGGAGTCCTCGAGCTTCTTGCCCGAGCGACGGTCGATCTTCTCCTTGAGCTCCGAGAACTTGCAGGCGATGTGCGCCGTGTGGCAGTCGACGACGGGCGAGTAGCCGGCCTGGATGTGGCCCGGGTGGTTGAGGACGATCACCTGCGCCGTGAAGCTGTCGCAACCGCGCGGCGGGTCGGTCTTGCTGTCGCCGGCGACGTTGCCGCGTCGGATCTCCTTCACGGAGACGTTCTTCACGTTGAAGCCCACGTTGTCGCCGGGGAAGGCCTCGGTCAGGGCCTCGTGGTGCATCTCCACAGACTTCACCTCCGTGGTCAGGGTGGTCGGTGCAAACGTCACCACCATGCCGGGCTTGAGGATGCCGGTCTCCACGCGGCCCACGGGCACGGTGCCGATACCTGGGGCGGAGGGGAACCCAGGCGTTGAGAGAAGAGTTTTAATATTTCCAGACGAGAAGTACTCGAGCCGTACGCAACATGGGATTGTATTTTATTGCAAGGGGGTCGATTGGCCCGGGGTCACGATGGTCATGCAAGAAAAACCGGGAGAGATATTTACGAGTGAACCGGAGGAATTTTAAAATGCATCATAAAACTGATGGGGAAAAGTCTCGCCAATAGACACCGCATGTTTATCACAAGGTCGGGCAACAATTTAATGTAGGATCCTGACTGCAATAATAGGGCTTTTCCCCCTTTTTTCTGGCAAAACAAACCTTCTTACAAGGATTCATGTCTGCATTAACCACAATACCTGCAGTCAAAATGCAAACAAAAAACACACTATGATAATATATGCATTGTTCTTGAAACTCATTGGTCCACACCAAGGGACGGCTTTCTTTTACTGGCAAAGGAGGTCTAATGATGTAGATGGTCACCCCGAGCCCTCATTACTTTGATAGTGCATTGTCTTTGAGCTGTACACCTTTTGGCGTCATGTGGTCGATCACCAATTGGGTCGAGGCTCAAAAGAAAGCCGTCCCTTGGTGTGGACCAATGAGTTTCAAGGACAATGCATATATTATCATAGTATGTTTTTTGTTTGCATTTTGACTGCAGGTAGTGGTTAATGCAGACATGAATCCTTGTAAAAAGGTTTAAGTTTTGTTGCCAGAAAAAAGGGGAACACCCTATTATTACATTTTGATACTGGCAAAGGAGGTCTAATGATCCTGACTTCAGTTAAAAAACATCAAGTCATAGTAAAAAATAAAATGTTTATCGTGAGATCAAGCACCGACTGGGTCGGCCAATCACATGCCAGGAAAAAAAAGCCCCATGCATCATGGCTGGCATAAAGCTCTTAAGGTAGTGTGGGATAATCGAGTGGTCCCAATCACTTGTAAGATTTCAAACTTAAAATTAATGCCCAATGTCGGAACGCTTATTAACTGGAACATGCCCCCCCCCCCCCCCCACCGCAACCCGAACTGCCATCATTTTTAGGACGATTAAAGTTTCTCAAGAAGTGGCCCCATGAGCAGCAGGGGGACAACCGATTTGAATGGGAAGCGGTGGAGGGGGCTAGGCATGAGAAAACTGTGCCCCCCCCCCCTTCCTGTCTCTCAACTCACTTTTCCCGACACGTGCCAAGGATGTTTTTAAAAACACGCATGCAATAATATGGAGTAGGCCAACCAGATGTGTTTTGTTGAACCACATTGGATTTTGAGCAGTGGGTTCTTAACCCGACATGTCTCGCACCCTCCGGGGGGTGTGCTAGACATGCCAGATGTTTAGATGGCAAATCAAAACAAATTAATCACGGGTACAAAAGTACAACTACTTTACATGAAGAGTACGTATATGTTAACGCAACATTTTTCTTACAATTGAGAACCATGAGATTCAAGGCTGTGTAAAATAGAGAAACACTGGTTTAGGAGGAAGCCCGTCTCAGGTGACAGTACTAATAGAAAAAAAATACGCATGGTACAATAACTCAAGTTATCATGCATCTTGCTTTCGTGCCGGCCCATTGGTCTAGGACTTACCCACCAGGGCGTGGGGGGAACACGCAACTTGCGCTATTGATACGATAAGCCAGACGCGTTGGTCGTGATTGGGCCATGGCAGACAGCAGGCAACTTTTACTGAATACACTTAAAAATAAATTATCAAAATGTTTTGTTTGTATCTGTCGATTTGGGCCTCCGTTGAGGCCAACGCACCCCCCCCCCCCCCCCCCCAATGCGTCGCATATGCTGCGTACCTCAATTGCATCCCTGGACAGCAGCATCTAAACACTGCAGCGTCAAAGTCATTTGTCTACCTGACAGTCTCTACAAAAGTTACCCGTAGACAATTCTACGCCAGGTGCCCAAATTGGTCGTAACCATTTTCCCAGTAACTATTAAGAGCAGGAGCAAGCGTATCAAAAACAACAACCCTTCACCATAGCCTCATTGCCAGTGATAAACACTACAGCTGTTTCACAACTTTAACAATTTTAAACCGAGCATAAAGGCTTCAAAAAGCGTACAATACAAAGTGGACAGCAGCCAAGAGCAGGAAATACCAGAGACAATACGTTACTTGGATTGTGCAACATGAGATGATGCGAGGTGGTGATGGTGGGGAGGCAGCTTCGCATCTACCCATCTTTGTCTCCCCAGTGCTGACGCTTAAAACACTCCACCAGGTAGAATACTCATTTGAGGTTACGGATTAATGCACATTCCCATACGACGAGAGTCCCACCCCCACCACCCTCCCAACCCAGCCCCCCCGATCCCAAAAAAAACCACGCCACCCACCGCCGATCTTGTAGACATCCTGCAGCGGCAGGCGCAGAGGTTTGTCCGTGGGACGCGACGGGGGCAGGATGGAGTCGAGAGCTTCCAGCAGGGTGGTGCCGGTCGCGTTGCCCTCCTTGCGTGTCACCTTCCAGCCTTTGAACCAGGGCATCTGCGCACGAGCCGTCAATATCATCAAGATCGTCACATTGTGCATTGCTCACCGTGCCACGGTCTAGACTTCACACTCGAGGTCGACCGTGCCACCTTCGCAATTGCGGCACCTATACTCTGGAACTCATTGCCCTTCCAGGTCAGGCCTTCGAGACTTACAAATCTTTAAGCCGCGACTAAAAACGTATCCGTTTATAAAAAAATGGCTCTTTTTAGATATGCGTCACTTCTTTAATTGGTTGTTGTTAACTATTTTCCCCCTTGACATGCATAGTGCTCGAGAACGATTGTTGAAGGGCAGTTTTTTTAAGTTAAATTATTATTGTCATTCGAATAGGGTTTACCCCCTTTCTGGAAATAAAAATAGCTGTTAAGATGGTCCAAACAAATTAGATACCTTCTGCAAGGAATCAAGTCTGCATGTCCTTATGCCAATATGCTCAAGTCGTGCACATCGTTCCTGTCAGTCTCTTAAACAAGTCAAGCCCCCTAAAAACACTTAATTTTAATTACCGCTAAGGGCCCCCCCCCCCCCCACCCATCTTCCTTTGGTCTGCCACCGTACCACCAGTGCCTCCCTCCCTCTGGCTCTACAAAGCGGCTCCCCCCACCCAGCGGCTCCCCCCCCACCCAGCGGCTCCCCCCCCCCACCACGTACGTTCTTGCTCGACTCCAGCATGTTGTCGCCGTGCCAGCCGGAGATGGGCACGAAGGCGACCGAGGCAGGGTTGTAGCCGATCTTCTTGATGTAGGAGCTCACTTCCTTGACGATCTCGTCGAAGCGCCCGTTGCTGAAGGGCGGCTCAGTCGAGTCCATCTTGTTGACGCCCACGATGAGCTGCTTCACCCCGAGCGTGAAGGCGAGCAGCGCGTGCTCGCGCGTCTGCCCGTTCTTGGAGATGCCCGCCTCGAACTCGCCCACGCCGGCCGCTACCACAAGCACCGCGCAGTCCGCCTGCCGCCTCGCGAGAGAGCGCGCGCGCACAACGCAACACATTTTTAAGTTAAATCTATAAAAAAAAAACCACTCAAAAAAAAAAACTTGCTTTTACTGCAGATTCTTAGTGCGTTGTTTTTTAAAAAAAAAATAAGCCTCCGATAGCGATTGATTAGATTTGGAACGAATCCGGTGGACTGTCCACAAATCGCTGTAGCCTGATGAAGCTTTTTGTAATTACTGGCGAAACGTCGTGCTCGGTTTCGTTTATTAGGTATAGCCCTGTGAGCCATGCGGCTCTCGACTCGGATGCAACCGCAACAAACAAAAACACGAATAAAGAACGTCTTAGTGACGACGTGCAACAGAAAAATCCAGGAACAGCAGTCTTCCAGAAAAAAAAAAAACTATATCAACGCAAAATTCCCAGTGGGATGCAAGTCAAACAACAACAACGACAATTTAGATTAAAGTTCAGGCCAACTCTGTACGTAAACAAACATGGATAAACCACTCTGATTGTAAATTGTTATGGCTTGGCTCTCCACACCGGTGTGCTGTACTAGTGACGAATTGGCATGTTCTGTTTACGCGACGACCCTTACTAGTTGCACGTGTCAGCGGATTTAACGACACATTTATATATTTATGCGATCTAACCAAAAAAACCCTGTACGAGCAATTTATTAAAATGCACTTTTGTTTGTATGCAAATTGCTTTAATTGTTGCTTAAAAGCCGTGATCTGAACGTGGCTCTCTCACTCCAGCGCTGTCCTACCAGACAGTCTCGCTCCCTTCACCTGATGAAGGCCGCTTGTGTTGTGGCCGAAACGTCGTGAGAATATTATTGTGTTATTTTATTTTATCAATGTATTATTTGATTCTCATTCTACGTGACTTTACCGAAAGAACCAAAGAAGATGTTTTCTTTGATTTGTACAGCACTTTGAATTGCATGTTTTGCACGAGTGCTCTAGAAATAAATACTTGATTGATTGAAGACGACAGATCAGAATTAGACTATTTGTAAGCGGGAGAAGGAATCCAATGAGTTATGAAGCTCTTTTCTCAGATGTCCAGCAGGGGCGGGTCAGCACATTGCAACTTCTAACGAAACACAATGGGAGTGCATAGCATAGGGAAGGTTAAAAAAAAATCGCTGAATACCCAACTTTGTTTTTATCTCGCCAGGTAAAAGCCCACCGAGTGTAGCTCCTCTTACAGGAGCCACCAGGCCGCAAATGGATAGATCAAAAGTGTTTTGCCCAAATATTTAATTTTACCACCAACCATCCAGCAGTGGATCGACAAGAGGGTTGTACATTTTACGGTTCGATTGTGTGTGTGGCACGGCAGGAAGCAATGTTCTGGTGGAGGAGAATCTACCCTCTCAGAAATCACATCGTCTCGAGCCAGTTACTCCATGCTTCCCAAATAAAGTAAAAAAACGTGGATCCATCTTCTTGGTTCTTTCGGTAAAGCCACGTAGAATGAGAATAAATAAAACAATAAAATTCTCACGACGTTTCGGCCACAACACAAGTAGCCTTCTTCAGGTGAAGGAACAGAACTGTCGGGACGACAGCACTTCAATGTGGATCCCTTGCAGAGGGGGAAGCAAGGCCTTTTAAGACGGTCCACCTGGTTTTGAGCCATTCGTCTAAAACACGTTTGCGAATCCCAAAAATGATGTATACATGTTTTTTTTAGATTTTGTCTCTCGACTAGCAATATGTACGGTAACCGTCACCGTTGTAGCAGTTTAATAGAAAAGATCTACGAAGTGTAACGGTAGTAGCATTGCTGGTGAATATAGTTTTGCGATAAATTTATGTTTGAGGAAATATCCAACGCAGTGGTGATAAATATGGTGTACAAGATGATAAAGTTGTTTTGCCCATGGTAGAACACTGCCTTTGGCGACACCCTAGGTAGTACCGACTTGGCTCATGGGCCCTCTAGAAACACATAATTTACACTTACAAGGCTTTTTTTCACTCATAGGTCACAGGGCTGTGTAGCCAATTCGGGCTACGGAATCTTGGACGATTATTATGAAATTGTAATTTGAAAAACTTACAACTTAAGGGCTCCCCCCCACCCCCCCCCCCCCCCCCCCCCAAAGCTAGCGCCTATTAGAGGTGGTTCGACCATACTTCACCATGCTGGTCAGCGAGAGTTTCTGAAGGGGGAGGGGCGGGGGGTTAGAGGTAGCCAGAACCAGTTCACCCATCACTCGTCACCGCCGTTAGCCGGGGAAACATTTGATCGTTGGGTTTAAACTGCAGCGAGGCGCGGCAATGCGTCAAAACCTCCACTTCCGAGTCATTGATTAACAGCCACGTTGCGGGGGCATCATTCCAGTTGTATTTTATGACAAAAGGCAAAGAGATACTCAATAGCCTTTCAGACTGTTACGGCAAGGTGCTGTTAACGAACACGTACGAAGGCCGGCACGGCACACGCGGGTTGTGGGTGCCCTGCACCACATATGGCCAAGAATACCAACCACCTAACGTCTGAAATAGTCATGCCATCATCAATGCGTCCAAAAACAAGGGGGCCTCTGCGTTGGGATGGTTTAGGCAAATATCACGAACTGGCATGCGAGAGAAACACCTAGTGTGCCTGGAGAAACATCCACGTGGGCAAGACCAGACCATTAAAAAAACTCCGCACAGGTGGATGTAATGCATCGTTGTGGTTCCATCCCGTGGCAGCGCACCTGCGAGGTGCCGGTGATCATGTTCTTGATGAAGTCGCGGTGACCCGGGGCGTCGATGATGGTCACGTAATATTTGGACGTCTCGAACTTCCAGAGGGAGATGTCGATGGTGATGCCTCGCTCGCGCTCCGCCTTCAGCTTGTCCAGCACCCACGCGTACTTGAACGAGCCCTTGCCCATCTGCAGCATCAGCAGGGCATGGGGGGCCTTATTCATCAGGGCCCCACCCAAAATTCCACACCTTAAAAAGCCACCGCGGTGCACCATTAAAATCGGCACACGCCGCACCAGGTGACATAACAAGTCGTGGTGGTAGCGTGCGATTGTGCCACGCTAGGTGCACTTTGAAGCTACGTGATGTGTGATTGCTCGGTTTAAAAAAAATAAAAACACGTAGGCGGCTTTCGTTACTAATATTAGCAAGCAGTTTTTTTTTTTTTTTGGGGGGGGGGGGGTTAGGTCGCGTAAATATAACCACCGCCACCATTCACAGCCAATTAATGCGGCTCGTCACGTAGCCACAACGTGACAATTATTTATGGCAGCACGCCGCTTGTGGGCGTTAGCGAGTAAACCCAAAACATTCAGGTTTTAGTTACGCCGTTTCCGCCGGCGATCATGGCCAACTTCAAACAGTGGATTTCTCGCCGACGAAAGGAAGTCGCCACGGGCCAGAACTCGGTGGGGTACCGGTCACACGCGGGGTGGACCGACAGACGCACCACCCGTGCTCCCCACTGCCACATTTGCAGGGTTCAAGTCGCACCGCGCTCCATTCATTGTTGCGAGAATTCGGGGGCCGTCCATAAATGACGTCACGCGATTTTGGATCCCCCCTCGTCACAAAAAGTCAGACCCACCCTCAAATATGACGTCACAAAGCTCTGCCCCCCCCCAAAAAAAAACCACATTTCCATTTTGAAAATAAAACATGCTTCTAATCACTTTAAACTATTGTCCTTGTAGTGCGTATTTAATGTGCCGCTGCTCTGATGTTGTAGGATAAGACATGTATTTAAAAGTATATTTAATTAAGTAGAACGTGTTTGTCTATAGTTATTTAAATTTGCGCATTTTGAGGTGACGTCACATTACTCAAACCCCCCCCTCCCCACATCGTCACAAATGTTCGACCCCCCCCCCCCCCCCCCTAGGTGCGTGACGCCATTTATGGACGGCCCCTTCATCTTCCGCAATCGATGTCGGGTGAATGCCTCCAACTTCGCAGTTGCCTCAAAGCGCACATCGCCTGGCAATAGCCAACAGGGGGCAGCATCACGGGCCTCCACGGAGGCCGTTACTGACAACGCTGGAATGGGAAAGTCGAATGTCACCTTACCCGTAAAAAGGCATCCCAAAAGCTGCTAAGCGTGCACCCAATGAAGGCCGAGATGACGAGGCGAGGGCGTGGCCAGTCGCACGTCAGGCCGACTTGGGACTCAAATGTCAACCTCGTGTAACAGCCCAGGACCATAGTCTTGGTTCTTTCGGTAAAGTCACGTAGAAGGGAAATTATGAAATTAAAACGTAATAATACAATTCTCACGACGTTTCGGCCACGACGCAAGCAGCCGTCCTCGGGTGAAGAAACAGCGCTGTCGGAAAGACAGCGTCTTAATGAACGCTGCCAGGCTCGGCAGCGTATTTTAAGCTGTCCAGGACCGGTTCAGATACCACTTGCTGAACCACTTGTGTATTAGGTGGCCGGGAATCGAACCAATGCGACACGTCAATCACGGTCACCGCATTGCGCGCATTCAGACGAGCTTCTGTGACCGTCTGGAACCGCTCTTCCTTCCGATATTAGAATGCTATTGGAGATATGCACTTTAAAAATTTAGATTTAAAAGGTATACCTGCTTTGTGTTTAGTGTATTGTCCCCCCCCCCCCCGCACCTTCGATTAGCGCGGTTGGCTACGTACGGTGCGCAAAAAGATGTTCACCCTACACACAGAGTCACCCCTTCCAACTTAAAGCAGAGGACGAACCAACACAAATGCGTAGAGTGGCTCCGTTGCTCACCTCTGCAGCCTCCTTTTCAAACTTCTCGATGGTCCTCTTGTCAATGCCGCCGCATTTGTAGATCAGGTGGCCGGTGCTCGTGGACTTGCCCGAGTCCACGTGGCCGATCACCACGATGTTGATGTGAATCTTTTCCTTCCCCATTGCTCGGCCAGGTCACTCGAAAGTTTCTCAGAAAGGGGTTTTACTTGCTGCCCGCGGCAGGTGTAGTAGCTACGACTCGGAGTTCTTTGGCGAAACATTTGGAAGGACAACAAAATTCGTGAATAAGAGACTGGCCGGTATTTTTTTGATATATACATGATAGTTGACGTTTCATGCAAGGGGTCCTTCTTCATAGCGCATGAAGGGCCAGTGTCAGAAACGGCGCCCGTTGTATATCGTTCCTTTGGAGAAGGCTGCAGAGTTATCAAGTAATGTGACAGCGCTGGGCTTGTGCGCGCACATCCAAGACGTCTATTTAGAGCAGCACGAAAGAAATTCAACACGGTTGCAGACTGGGACAGCCCATTGAGACATCCAGCAGTAGATTGACCACGGCTAACAAGACGGCTACTCTGTTGCCGTGTTAAAAGAAGTGCCCCCCCCACCTCCCCCGCTCCTGCATTTTGAAGTTCGGTACCGGTAAAATTCGAAGTGCGTCTTATAATCCGGTCAATGTGGCCCAATTATCTGAAACGTTAACACCGGGCAAGCGTCTTGTTTTCTGGAAGGTAAAGTTTATTTTCCACGATGCGTCAGAGTTAAGGGCAAGAGATTCCGTACCACTGCACACCATTTTAAAGGACCCACAATCGTGTTTTATCCACCGCTTGATGAAGACCTCCCAATGCAGTGTTTTTCATGGGGGGGGGGGGTGTTGACCATACTTCACCACGCTGGTTAGTGCTACTTGGTTAAAGAGGGGGGTGGCGTGTGATAAGAATCCACACATGCGGCAGCAGAAATAATTTGTAAATTGTCACCGGGATCACAGCGTGATGCGCCAACAACTGCGCCACCGCTCCCCCACCCCCGTTCATTAATTACCACATTCAAGATTAGGAGCTTCCAGAAAGACCACAAGCGCTCCTTAACGTTTGCCCGATACAAATGTAGTTAAAACAAATCTGGTCCCACACACACACGTACCGGATTATAAGACTCACCGCCAAACTTCGGCTTTAGATTTTCCGGGAAAAGTTAATCTATAGAACACAGTAATTGAAGATATATAATAGCAATCTTAAACAATTTTTACCACTTAAAAGACGCAAGTGTGCAGTATGGGAGGTGCAGGTCCTTCTGGGTCAAGAAAATACACCACACGGTAAAGCCACAACACAATCGACCACGTCGGAAATCTGCGAGCAAGACAAAAACTCATCTCGCATGAATAATGAGGAGTACCTCCTCGTTACATTTCTGCGTCTAAAGGTGGGGGGGCTCAATTTCTCACTCAGATGTTTTTCGGAACGCTGCTATCGGATTGCTTGGAGTAAGAATGAAATTTTTGTTTCATAATCGTACACGTTAAATAACGCTACGACACATTAAAATTGTACCACATCTTTCCCTAGAATCCTACGGAGGAGGTTTGTGAACGTGAAGATGTAGGGAGGGACACTATAGTTGTCGTCTGGGATGGATGTGGCCGTGCCGATGCAGAGTTCCAGGCGATTTCAGATGAAATCCCAGTGCTCGTTTTAAAGCCATTTGAAAATAGATGTGTACAAAAAAACCCATCATACCGTCTCCGGGTGGGACTTGATGCACGAATGGAAAAATAATCAAACTCGTGCGTCTGCGGTCACCCAGAATTGGCCGTGGGAACACAACTACGCCGATACTACCAGCGTCGTACGAAGGGGAGGCATCGTCACGCCGCTACGCCTACCGCAATCGTATGGCTAAATCACATCTTAAAACGAAAAATACATGGTCGTTTCTCTACATCAGCCATGCAACAATGAAGAGCGAGTGGGACCGGTTGTATTTAGTTTGTGCTAAAAATTTATATTTCTTGAAATGGCTTGCCTTGAAATTAGTTGCCGTAGAAATGTCCACGATTATGATTTAAGGTGTAGCTAGGATGACTTCACTACTGCACTCGGAACAACACAATCTGCGTAAACCTCACGAACCCCCCTCCCCTCCAAAACAAAGCCCACTCACCTTTAGGCGCAGAGAGGTTTCCGGCACAAACCTCACTCTGCCGGGGTCCCTGGACTCTTAAATAGATATCCTCACCTGTTAACAATCACGGGCAGCGCCCACTTAACGAGTTAATGAGCGACGTCACGAGACCACGTTGCTGGTAATTTGTACCTAATTGTGAAGGCACGTGTGCGTTTGTGGGGAGCGGTGGCGCAATGGTTACGCCCACGGCCAACGCCGGTGACGATTATCTGAACCGGTCTTGGGCCTCCACTAGGTCGACTCAGCCTCAAATAAGTGCCTGGTGCGTGTGTAAACGTCGCCACTCGGGTGTGCTGTACCGGTCCTAAATATGTTCGCTCACAGCACTCGCCCCAAGAGTACGTTAAGGCTATACGGGGGGATGTGGGGGGGGGGAATATTTGTCTCTGTGTGCTACTAATGATTGATCATGATCCAGCACCTCCGATCGGCGCGGTTGGCTACGTACGGTGCGAAAGAAGTTCAATATGCCTCCATAACAATGAATGACAAGTGGAGGCAAGCAATTATCGCTTTCTGCAGACGCATTGTGCGTGTTAGGCATTCGCCACCCCGCGGCGATTGGATGGATTGATTGGGTACGATTATGTAGGAGGGGGGGGGGGTTTAACCTGTCTCGATTGCATTGTTTAGCTTCATTGTTTAGCTTCATTGTTTATCACTTTTTTCTTCTTGGTTATTTCGGTAAAGTCACGTAGAATGAGAATAAAACAATAAAACAAAATAAGACAATAACACAAGTAGCCTTCTTCAGGTGAAAGAACAGAACTGTCGTCCCTGTCGTCCCGACAGTTCTGTTCCTTCACCTGAAGAAGGCTACTTGTGTTGTGGCCGAAACGTCGTGAGAATTTTATAGTCTCATTTTGTTTTACTGTTTTATTCTCATTCCACGTGACTTTACCGAAAGAACCAAGAAGATGAATCCTTGCAGTCACGAAAGCTTTAAATCGAAATGTTTATCACTTTGTTGGGCTGATTGCAAACTCGTTCACGCGCCTGTGCGGTGCACACGCGGGGCACGTTCGGTGCGCTCGTGACTCGGTCCGCTTTGTCCTGGTGAGGGTCGCGGCGGCTGCGTGTTGAGTCGGAGCGGTCCGCACCTCCCGTGCCCTGGCGACAGACTCCAGCACGACACGACTACACAATACACTACACTATACACTACTACACCATACACTACTACACTATACACTACTACACTATACACTACTACACTATACACTACTACACTATACACTACTATACATTACGATACACTACTACACTATACACTACTACACTACTATATTTTACTATACACTACTAAATTTTGATTTAAAGCTTTCGTGACTGCAGGACTAGTCCTGGCAAACAGCCAATCGTTGCGCGTGACGCAAACGTAATTTTTATATATATAAATAAATAAATATGCCGTTTTCAAAATAAATTTATGCAAACCGACACACCTGATGATGACCGTTTGAGTTATGGTCGAAACGTCGTGAGAATTTTTTATTGTTTTATATATATTTTGTTATTTTGTTGTTTCTCTTCAACGTGACTTTACCGAAAAAACTAAGAATATGAATATACACTACTAGTTTTCAGTTTTGTTTATTTCTTTATTTTGGTATAGCCCTGTGAGCCATTCGGCTCCTGAATCGGGTGCAACCACAACAAACAAAAACACGAACAAGAAAAACATCTTAAAGTGACTATGTGTGACTGCGAAAACAGACAATCTATGAAAAAAAACCAGCAAAATATTCCTGAAAAAAGCACCGTACACCAACGCTATACACTTTCACTATACACTACTATACATTACTATACACTACTACACTATACACTACTACACTATACACGACTACACTATACACTACTATACATTACTACTACACTATACACTACACTATACACTACTATACATTACTATACACTACTACACATACCATACACGACTACACTATACACTATACTATACACTATACACTTTCACTATACACTACTATACATTACTATACACTACTACACATAGTATACACGACTGCACTATACACTACCATACATTACTATACACTACTACACTATACACTACACTTTACATTGCTATACACTACTACACATTACTATACACGACTACACTATACTATACATTAATACAGTGCTACATTACACTATACACTACTACGCTATACACTTCACTGCTACACTATACACTACACTATACGCTACATCATACACTACTACACTATACAATATTATGCACTGCTATACACAGACTCTAGCTCTTCCTGGGGAATTTCCAGGGTTTCCCAGGCCAGCTGAGCGAAAAAGCCCCGCCAGCGTATCCCGACGACTGTGTTTCTAAATCGCATGGCATCATCCCAGTAAACTTGCAACGTTGGGCCAACGTTGGCCCCATGGGGGAGCAGAAGGTCGTAGAGACCTCATTAACCCACTTCATGCTTTAAAGCACACTGATACGGTCCTTGTCATTTCAGCATGTACACTCGTCGGCATTAATAGTATGTAATAGGCGACGTTTCCGGCAATAATCCTTAGCCATAGCATATTAATAAGTCCGTGAGATTGCCTCCATGTTTTACGTGCTATGGCAGCGTGTATATATATTGTAATTATTGTAATTACGTTTCATGCATTGACCCTTCTTCATAGCACGTAAATAGAGGTTTAGAATAGAGATTTAGAATCAGTAGATTTAGAATCAATAGATTTAGAATCAATAGATTTAGAATCAATAGATTTAGAATTAGGAGATTTAGAATCAACCCGAGAACGTCTCTGGAGCCAAGTGTGCATGGCTCTATGAGTGAGGAAGTCAAAGGTCCAACCCCACCAAGCATGATTCATTGTCTTTGGGTCTTTCGGTAAAGCCACGAAGATAGAATAAGTAATACAAATAATCAAGTGATATTGTTATTCTTTTTTTTATATATATATTCTTCTATCTACGTGGCTTTACCGATAGACCCAAAGAATATTAATTCCCGCAGTCACAAAAGCTTTAGGTCAAGATTCCACCAAGCATTATTTGTATATCGTTTGTGCAGGTGAAATAAAGTCACGCGCAATACAAGGACGCTGTAACATTTGTTTAAGTAGACATATAAACATAATTTTGGAACAGATATATGACACAAGCTGATTATTTTATTGACCCGAGCAATGAGTATCTTATTCCAGAAGGACAGGTGATGGAGTGGGCAGCTGAACTTTCTCTGACGCAGCCAACGGCTGCCGATCCGAGCGAGGACGGCCACTGCATCGCGCGCTTTCAGATGCGCCTCTGCGGCCGTCTGGAACGCTCTTCCTTACGACACGAGGAAGCCAGTGGATCTATGCACTTTTGCATCATCTAGATTGAAAACTAATTTCTTTAGAACTTCATTTTGTGCTTTAGTTTGTTGTCCTTTCCCCGCACCTCCGATGAGCGCGGTTGGCTACGTGCGATGTGCGAAAGATGTTCAACACGCATGCAATACGATCCCAATACTGTATTGGCTTATTGCACAATATTTGTTGTAACCGTTGTGACGACGTCACCCCGCGTGTTTACTCGGCCACGTGTGCGCGGTTCGGCCGCATCACCGCGTTGGAGGAGTCCCGTGGAGGCCGTCTGAGGCGGCGGTAGCTCACGGATTAGACCGGTGAGAGACGACCCTAGCGTCTGAACGTAGCACGTTCGAATCTTGGCCAAGGGCGAGTGAACAAATACAAGAAAATCAAACTGAACTCGTAGCAACGGTGGGACACAAGACGAAGGTGCTGAGCAGAGGTGTGCATCTACAACATGCAGGCGAATATACAGGGCCCATGACTTAAGGTCACGATTCAAGAACAAGGGATCTTTTTGATTTAAAGCTTTCGTGACTGCAGGGATTCATATTCTTGGTTCTTTCGGTAAAGTCACGTCGAAGGGAAACAATAAAATAATACAAATATAAAACAATATATTTTATATATATTTTTTTAAAGTCAGACCCTCCTCAAATATGACTTTACCGAAAGAACCAAGAATAACAAGGGATCTGTTTAAATTGTGAATGTGAGCTCCCTCTATTGGCTGAAGGGCTCATGTTAACCTGCATCACTCACCTAAATATTAATTTGTTAAGGGGTCGTCCATAAATGACGTTACGCGATTTTGGACGATTTTTGACCCCCCCTCCCCCCATCGTCACACGGCGTCACAAAATGTCAGACCCCCCCTCAAATATGACGTCACAAAGCTGTGCCCCCCTCCCAAAAAAATATATGCTTCCAATCGCTTTAAACTATTGTCATTGTAGTGCGTATTTAATGTGCCGCTGCACACTGATGTTGTAGGAGAAAACATTTATTAAAAAGTCTATTTAATTAAGTAGAACGTGTTTCATATTCTTAGTTTTTTCGGTAAAGTCACGTTGAAGGGAAACAACAAAATAATAAAATATATATGAAACAATTTTTTATTGTTTTATATATTTTTTATTGTTTTATATATATATTTTATTATTTTGTTGTTTCCCTTCAACGTGACTTTACCGAAAAAACTAAGAATATGAATTACTGCAGTCACGAAAGCTTTAAATCAAAATTTAGAACGTGTTTGTCTATATTTATTTAAAGTTGCGCATTTTGATGTGACGTCACATTTCTCAACCCCCCCCCCTCGTCACACATCGTCACAAATGTGTGACCCCCCCCCCCCCCCCCTAGGTGCGTGACGTAATTTATGGACGGCCTCTAACACGCGCGATTCACTACGTACACACACATTGTGAACACGTGTGAATCGATGCACGATTGCCACCTTCACCATTAGGACAACGGCTGATAATTACACACATGGAACAGATGTCTCTGCCAATTAAACGAGTTACTTGACCACACAACTTAACTTCTCATGGGGTGTTTTATGGAGCACCACAAGCCCCTGCCACCTTCCCTGCTGTTGGAATGGGGAGGGAGGAGGGGGTATGGGGGAATATTTTCCGGAGCTCAGCCCCTTGACAGATTCGACTCAAACTGACACTGCCCAGTACACGTGCCAATCGTTGCCATTGTGCTTGGAACCGTTCGAACAATGCTGGTCACCGGC